TTTGACCATTTCTCAGTGCAGTTGCAGTTACATTAACTAGGATAAAAATGAGGTGACTGGCGAGTCTTTCAGCTTCAAGGCTTTGTGGGAGCATCTGGTTTTGAAAAGGACAAAAGCATGTAATTCAGAGATTTGCATTTTCCTGCAAGGCTTCCATTAGAAGGAGACATTAACTGAAAGATAAGATTTTTTGACTGCTGTTTTCCTGTAAATACTTGGAGAGCACACTTGTCTGAGAATTTGGTTTGGTTTTTGCTTTGCTCTAGAGATAGTTGTCTTTCAAAACAGCGTTTAAAGATGTTACAGAAATCATTCACGTTTTATGAATTACTAGGAATGCAAGAGAGCACTTCTCACCTGCACAGATTCTCAATTATCATGTATATGCTGTATAATAATTTCACACCTAATTTGAAGCAGAAAGAATCTGAACAGTTTTATGCACTCTGAAAAACACATCTGTATCATGAGGGAATGATGAGAAGAAAGGAGGGAAATGTCTGTGGTTTAAGAGCAATTTTAGCTGAGGGAAGACATTTGGATTGGTGCTACTTCAACATCTCTCTGTTAAGGGTCTATTCCGCTTCATTATCCTGCTCAATTTTACACTTGTAAATTCATCGGCATTGAGTTTAAGATTAAATGAACCAAATGTGGTCACCAATGTCTTTTCATATGTCCTTTTCTGACTTTTTTCCCTTTGGTATGTAATAATGTATGGGTTTATATATTTGGAGTTTTTGATAATCCGTCATTAATATATATTTCCATGTTTTTAAATTAAACACTTGACATTGTCTCTGCACCTTTCTTTCCTACTGCACACTGCTAATATGATGAGATTTCTTTCTGTAGTGTAGCAGCAATATCACTTCAAACATTCTGCAGCGATGACAGGTTTTAAGTTGGTCTTTTTGTAAGTGCTTTGGCCCTTCTAAGAGGTGGAAAAATTCAAAAAAGGTGTTGTGTTCCATTTTTAGGAAAATCAGCTGTTTCTGTTCTCATCAATGCTCTCTTCTCATCAATAGAGATACGAGTAAGAAAATAATTTTCGTAAGCTTTGCCTTTATTGTAGTCATTCAAGTAGTAACATTGTTATGGGTCTCTGAATGAAAGGATTTTCTTTCGCTCTCTCAATATTATTCATGTATTTCACATTAGCAAAAGTTTCTGTCTGGTTTGGTGTTATATGCTCAATGAATTTTTTTAAAAAAGAGACAGACCTGAAAGGAAAAGTTGTATTTTGTGGATTGATTATGACCTGAGCCATCTGAGAGAGTTTGGTGAGAACCCCAGGAGGGTGCTCTGTGCACTTATTTAGCATCTAAGCTCTGACACTGTAATGCTGTATTTATCTGAAGATAATCAGGTCTGCCTTTTATAAGGCAGGAAAAAAAATTAGTAGGAAAAATTGTACATAGCATTCTGGAAACAAAAAAGGTATATAGACAATGGTTTTGCAATTAAAAAGAGATGTTACCAGCTGTTTTATAGATTGGTCACTGGGGCTTTAGTGTGAGATAATGAGCTTTACCTTGCAGAAGGGAAATTATGCTTTGGGTGCTACTAATGGAAAGCCCTTTAGGGGAACACAGAATGACCTGGAGGGTCCATTTTTAGGTCTGTCTGGTGCTGTTTATTTTTGCTACCACATTACCTTCTGCCACAGGGAGTGTAAGGAAGGAAATAACAATCCTTCATTGAAACATGCAAAACCCAAACATGCAGCACATGCAATTTGAGTTTACCTCCAGAGCATTGGTGGGATCATAGTGTCTGCTGAGATAAATTTTAAGTATCTACAGATTTCTGGTCAAATTTTAGTAAATTTGGGCACGTCCAGGTCTTCTAATAATATCCTTAGACACTTCCCTCAGCAGGAAAATACAGCTGAACTTACAGAATGTCTTAACAGCTTTGTTCCTGATTACAAAAGAAGTTTGTAGAAGGCAGAGGAACTTATCTGAGGTTCAATGCCCAGATCACTAGACCATCAAACCTTCCTAGATGAAGGGAGACTGCATAAAGAGAGGGGGGGATAAAAATGTCCTGGGCCTGGCCTGCTCTCCCAGATTAAAAAGTAAAAAAAAAAAATTAGAAATTATCAAGGCCATATGTTTTGGAGGTCCTTGAGAGGACCATTTTAAGCTTTTATGTCACATTGGCTTTACATTCATTTCTGTGTCTGAACTGGGTGGGTGCAGATGACGTAAGTTACCTGTAAATTACTGATTTATATTTGATTACTTTACTTGACAGATCCAGTGCTTTCACTTGTTGTGTTAGCTCCCTGGGAAATTACTCTTAATTCAGCTATAAATTGAAGGAAAAAAATAATGCAATAAATAGAATTCTCTAAGATAAATTAGAGCTTGAAGTTTCTGAAAGGAACAATGTAAGCTATACAGTAGTATCTAATTTTAAACATTTCGGCAGTTAATTAGAAGTAGCTGGATGATTTTGCACTAAATAAAACAAATTATTGGAAGCAAGCATATAAAAATCAAGACTTTCATGAAGTTTTTCATGCATAACTCCTCTATCAGTCACTGAAGTGAACATGATTATCATTAGCAAAGGCGTTTGTCCTCCCAGTGATTGTCTGTACATGTGTTTTGCTGTAAATATGCATGTGTTTCAAGCTCCCAAGTTTCAAGATATTTTCTGTTGGTACAATGTGAAACAGATCTTTTGTTGTGCCTTTGTTCTCGAGTGCCTGGTGTCTGAGTTACAGACGAGTTGAATGTTTTACTGTATTCAGCTGGACCGCAGGGGAATCCTTGCTTTAATTAGTAAATTGCTTTTCGGTGATGTTTTCCCATAAAGTAATCATGGTTGAGTTTGCATTGCACTGCAGTGCTTATCCTCTCTGTCAAGTTTGTGTTGGGAAACCAGCTCTCCAGCTGTGAAGGAAGAAAACCAGCCAGTTGGCAGTACTTCCTGAAATCTGGAGATGCTTATTCAGCTCCGAACTAACAGGCTGTGAACTGGTACACAGGCAGGTTCAGATTCTTCAGCTGAGAGCTCCTGATCCGTGGAACCCTGGCAAGCCTGTTGGCCACATCTGCACTGCTAGCGTGCAGGCCACTGTGGGTGGCAGAGGAGATGCTGTTGCCCCCTCACTTTTGAGCCAGGTACCTGCCAGAAGCACTGGGGAACCAGCCAGAAGCATTGGGCAGAGCCTCTTCACCAGCACTCATTTGTGCAACCGGAGTCAAGAGACCTGTGCTGTCACTGGGACCTTGGCCCAGGTGGCTCTGCACTCCCTGGTGGGTTTCCATTTTCATGTGAAGAGCCTTTTGCAGTGCCATCAAATACTTCTTTCCTCAGCAGCATCATGCAGCAGGTGCCCTGTGTGCTCACGTTTCTCAGTGTGTTTTCAGGTGGCTGTTGCTGAGCTCCCTTTGGCTGCAGGAGTTGTATCCACTGCTGTTGGATGGACTCCCAGAGATCTGTGGGCAGGCACCGAGGCCCCAGCCAGCCCTGCCACCATAGTTCCCTCTTCTTTTACACTAAACTGCCCTACAGGCCATCTCAAAATTCCCATCCACCTAAAGAAAGTGGAAAACATTTCTGTAGATGCAGCCAGTTCATGGACATGTGAATCCTCCCTCGAATCATCTGCTTGGCCCTTAGGCAAGGAAGAATTACAGGGCTTTTTCAAGGAGTTGCTTGTTCATCTCGGTGTAGAAAACTGAAAACTAAACATGTTTAAAGTGGTGATAAGGTCATGCTTCTGAGGCTGAACAAATCTGAATTATTGCTGTTTTGAGGCCCCTCCTGTGCAGGAGTGATGCGTGAACAACAAGTCAAAGGCAAGAGTGGTCTCCTTTCTTTAGCTACTGGAAATCTTTGAAGTATGATACCCTCCATGGCCTCTTTTTCTTGGCATACAGCATATCTCATCCTGAAGGTTGGCAGGACACCTGCCCTTCATGCTGCTGGGGTAAAACACATCCAAGTTTTTATGTGCTAATGACTGGTTGTAAAGCCCAGTAGAAAAATGTACCCCTCCTTTAAGAGAAATACTGTTCCGTTTCTGCTTCTGGTTGTTCTGCCAAACTGTACTGTAGGATAGGGCAAGTCTTAGTTTCTCTATTTACCAAATGGCCATAAAAATATATATCTAATATTATTTAAGACTTGGCTGAGGTTTCTGTGCTTGGATTAAAGGTTGCAAGTGCTGCAGGGTTCTGCAGGGAGTCAGTTCAAACACCATAAGCTCAGGGCAGCACATCTGAGCCACTGTTGCTCTGTTGCAATAGCAGGTATCAGATCAAATGATTGAATCAACAGACCCTATTCAGTATAATAGAAATGTCATTTGTAGTAGAATTTTGTCATTGGATTTATGTTCCTTGCTTTGCAGATAAATGGCTTAGCTGTGCCTTCGCATTTAATAGCAGCAGGGGACCATTATTCTCTAACAATACACTATTTCATTGACATTATCTATTGCAGAAAGAAGCTGTCTAGGTGTGTTTCCTCCTATACAGAAAACAAAATGTAAATATAAAATTTATGGTAGTTCATGCAGCTAATTTCAGTTGATCTGCTTTTTTTTTTTTTTCCTGCAATGAGATAGGTTTGTGAGCAGGGACAGTTCTTGGTGTTTCATAGTAGGAACCATCTCAGTGTTTCAAAAATTACATGAAGATGGAAAAAAATTATCTAATAAGAAATCAAAAGTAAAACATATCACCTGTTTTTGTCAAACATTTTATGTGAAGCATTGGTGTGAAAGTATCGGTTATTTCAGTGCTCAGTTTTTATCTATCAGTGAATGTATTACCAGTACTGGGGGATTTAAGTAGGTGTATTTTTCTAGATTTAACACTGCTTGGTGTAAAAAGATGCAAAAAATTTGTTATTCTTTAAAGGAACAAGAGAACTCTCTTCTGTTACTATTTCTAAATGTGAAATTTTGAATGTCATCTGCCACAGTTTTACACCATGGTAGGACCAAGAGGTACTGAAGTGCAATCCTTAGGATAACCAATCTCATACAAAAGTATACTGTAACAGGAATTGTCATTATTGACAGTATAAAGTGCCCTTAAACCAGCAAATTAATGACATTATTGTGATCTGTGACATTTCTGATAGGGCCTTCAGTTCCTGAGGTAGAAATTTAGGACACAAGTCACTGAAGTTCAGGAAACATGAGCCAGTTTTGCCCTTTTTCTTCCTTCTTAATTTATTTCCTTTTCTCTTTTTGATTAGGGATCACAATTCAGATAATTCACTGCTGATTGTGTGATGGCACATTGTCCTAAGCAGAACATTTTTCCATAAACATTTGTTTCATAAGTAATTTTAACTAATGTCAAATACTTATGAATCATCCTCTTATCACTTACAAAAAAGAACTTTTAGTCTTCCATCTGCTTCTCCTTAATTTTCAGCTTTATTACACATGCAATTACAATTTTCCTCTTCTAAATAATTCACTACACAGTTCATTTCCCACAGAAGGTAAATGAATAAAAATCTGTTTTCTTTACCATTGGCCTGTCTGTTCTCTGTGCCTGGCTGGCAGCCAGGAATATTAGATTTCAACATTCAGTGTTTAAAAGTATGACTTTTAGTGTTAGTAATAGATAAATATGTATGGGGATTGTGAAAATTATCCAGGGGTTGGAATCTGAATCCTCTTTTAACCCCCTTTTTTTTTTTTTCCCTGTTCAATTCTAAGCAGAATGGCCAATTATACTGAACTAAAGTGAATGCTAAATATTGCTGTTGGGCTACAAATAAGCACTCCCTAATGAGGGAGGAGTAATGTCCTGATTTAAAAATTACTCTTGATGGACAATCTACAGAATATATAAAGCACCCTGTAAGGCTGCATAACATAAAAAATTCATTCTAAGTAACAGATATCCAGCTCATTGAGTTGGCACTTGATGTATTGTTGTGTTCCAAAGCCATGAAAATCCATATATTGGGTGCTAAAGTGTCATGATGTCCCTAGGAAAGGTAGTTAGTAATTTAGTATTTCTGCGTGGTTTATTGGAACTTCATTTGAATAGGAAGAGGAGGTTAAATCATAATTAAATCTATGTGATGTGATCACAGAAGTTGAGGTCTGTGGTATGGAGTTGTATGTTTCTGATTAAGTAATTTTTACAATGAAGCATCCTGAAAAAGAGTGCAGAGAGAATTGTTTTTTCTTGTTAAACAAAAAATATATCAAGAAGTTTATGGCAGTGTTTTTTTTTTCCCTTTTTAATGCCCTTATGTTTCTTTGACTCATATTAAAGGAATCACACTCATGTAAGGATTTACAACAAACCTCTACTAGGGAATAAAAGAGATATTTACTGTTTAATTAACTGTTTAATAGTTATTTTTCTTACACAGTATGACAGTAATATGAATAGTGAGTGAAATAAAGTTAGTAGAAATGGAACAGGGTACATAAAGGATTTTTTTGCACCCAGATCTAGAGAAATATGAGTCTAAATAAAATCTAGGAATCAAATAGATTCTTAAGAAGAATCCATGTGTAAATGGCTCATGTGTATCTCCAGTTCAGGGAAGCCCAGAATTGTCACTGTCTGGATTCATAGTCGGTAGAAATAATTATTTTTCAAAGCCTGATACGGAGGTATTGTTGTGATTTCACTGGGGGCAGGATTAGCAGGCTTAGGTGAAGTTTTGTGCCCGAAATCTCTGGACCTTCATGAAAATGCAAAATTTATCTCAGGATATGTGGAAACTTAGTGGATTTGGTTGGTTGGTTGGTTTGTTTTTAAGACCCTTCTCAGTACTGATTTGGTAAAATGCTCTTTTGTAAAGCCCTGAAGGACATGCTTAGTTTTAAGCACTTAATATTTTCCTCAGGAGAGGTGCTTTCATGAAGCACTGACTGTGGATTTGCTTTCTGTTTGTGCAAACTTTGCTATAATTAATTTTCAGTATTTTTTCCTATTTAATTCTCACAGACTAAGAACATCTCCAGTTGTAAATATTCCTTGCTGAATAGCTCAAACAAGCAGATACCAAATTGATGTTTCAGGAGTTCCTAACTCAGCGTGTGAGAGCGCAGGCTCTGTGAGTGTAGCTCGTTAATTGGGAGCTGCTGCAGTGAATCATCTTGTGCTGCAGGGCACCCGAGGTCTGGCTCGACTTTTGGAATACTGAGATGAGGAGATAATTTAAGAGGAGGTACTTAATTGTAATATTTGGTGACATTAATAGCAAGTTGTCTGATACAAGATATGAAATAATTAATTTAGGACGTTCTTGTCTTGAAATGTTCACGGAGCAGCCCAGGTTGGAAGGGCTCTTGAAAGATCACATGTACTTGCTTATGTCCCCTGTTCTTCTCCCTCCGTCCTCACTGAGGAAAAAAACCCTCAAAATCTGGCACGAGCTTTCCAGACAAGACCACAAGTTGCAGTGTGAGTCTGTGTGTCTGGGCTGCCAGGCAGTGTTTGCATCACCAGTGCTACTGCGACACCCCCCAAACATCCAGCATGTTCCATGGGAGAGAGGAGAGCTCTGATACAGCTAGTGAGGAAATGTTGGATCAAGTAACAAAGCAAAAAGCAAACAATAAAGAATTTGCATTAGAATTAGAAATCAAAACTTCCAGTTGTATGCAAGTGGTAAGGGACAATAAAGAAGCTCCTTTAGGTAGAATCAATGAAGACATTTTCAGGAGGAGTGTGTAAGTGGTTGTTCTGTAATGCTGTTTGGAAGGGTTTTGGTCAGCATATGAGTAGATTAGCTTAGGTACTTGGATGGTAATGCCATGAGAAAATATCAGTCTCTGTTTATAACAGCAAGATCTCCTAAATAGGGTTTTCAAAATCCTCTGCATGTTTATGATTCTAAATTGGTCTTTGAAAAACAAGGTATATTCTCATAATGATTTTTATATTTTAAGTCAAAACAAAAAACCCCATTTTATAGAACAGTAGCCATCATGATGATGTGAGACACATCTGTATATCTTGTCTGTACTTAAATAGATCTCTAGACATTTTGAAAGAAGGACTATTTTTATGAAGATATAATATCAGTACTTTTCACTAGTATAATGCCCTTTTTAAGATCCACAAACTTTAGCTAATGAACTGCATATGTTATTTATAACTGTTATCCTGGGAAAACACTATATACAGCTATGGGTAGAGCCCCCTTGTACCAGTCTTATTTGTCAGTCAGACTTTGAGATGAATTTATACCTGAAGTTTAAATATTTTCACTGTGACTTTCTGGAAAAAATGATAATCAGAATTCAAGAATAGTGTTGAAAAGCAAAGCTCTGCAGGAACAAATCTGTAGTGTGTAATGCTGAGTGTTTGGGGCTTGCTTTCTTGCTCATTTAATGGGTGGGAGGAAAATGAGGAAGAGAGTGAGATCACTGATACTTTGGTGATAAGTGTATTACTAAAGATTTCACCTTTTCAAATTGGACATTCTTACAAGGAAGATTTTAGAGAACTTCTGCTTCACTTGGTCATGGTGGCGAATCATGTCAAAGAAGAGTTTCTTTTAAAAATATGCTACATTTTAACTAGTGTGTCGCAACATAAAAATATATTCCAAAGCGCTTTTGTGACTCGAGATAGGAACTGTGCTGTTATTTTTAAAGCATAGATGTGTCATCAATCAGCCCAGTGAACTGATATGTGAGTGCGTTTCATGCATGAATTAACCAGCTCCTGACCAGGAGGTTTCCCAGCGATGTGCTTTGCTGGCCAGCTGACAGGAGAGTGCTCAGGCAGAAATGCTGCAGCAAGCACATGAACTCACGACTGGAAATGCAGGAGCTCCTGGAGATTTTCCTTGTCTGACACCTGTTAAAGCCATGCACTTATTGCTCTGGCTTTGCACTTATTGGCTATGGTCTAATAATGCGAGAGAAAAACCAAAGCACTGCAGCTAATGTCTTTTTGAACCCGTTATTACTAAAATATTTTAACAAAATCTTCATGGTGAAGATACAAAATGAGTTCAGAAATCCAGTGTTACAAGTTCATCAAGACTGATGAAGCTGCCAGGAGATGAGTCATTATTTTCAGGACAATCTCAGTGGAGTCATCACAGAGCATTTTGATTATTTTTGTGTCTTTCTGTGTGTGCTTGAATGGTTCAAAATGGAGATGGTTAGTAACGTGTATGCTTTCAAACATACATGTATATACACTTAGTATGAATTCTGGAACTGTATAACTGCCTGGGTGCTGTATATCTCTGTGGAATTCAGCGTGTGCTGGAGCTGGGTTTGTTCAGTGCAGTGGCAGATCATCTGGTGAGGGAGAACAGTGAACTTCCCTGTGAGCATCAGCGACCAAGAGCTAACTATGAGTTCTTCTGGTCTGGTTTTAGATTTTGAAAAAGGACAGGACACAAACACAACTTAAAGAAGGAGCTGGTTTTATTGTGGAAACACAAACATTTTGCTGAAAAAATACACCTTTTTTTTTTTAGTTTTTGGGAAAAAAAACATGATCAAGTAAAGAGGTAATTTGATATGGTTTTAATTGCAAAGTATCTTATGGACCAGTCTGCGCTGATTTTATAAAACTTGCTGTGTGGGGGCTGATTCTTGGTGCTGTCCAGCCCAAACTTGAACTTCTTAAGAATCAGTTTCAAATCATCAGTTTTCATTTGTGTCCAGTATTCCAGCAGTAGGACTGCAAATCTGTTTGACATCTCTGACTACAGCAGGGAAAGGGAAACAATAGCTCTTTCATAAACTTAGAGCTGGAAACCCTTTTGCCAAGTCATCTTATGAATAAAAACGTGTTTTGTGTAAGTTTTGAAAAATGTTTTGACAATTCTACCTCGTGCAAATTTAGTGTTGGTTTCTGATCCATGGACGAGTTTGTTTTCCACATCTTGGTCAAATTTATGAAAGAGTTCTTAATCTAAGAATTGAGAGGGATAAAGTGGGAATGTATTCCTGAGACTTCTTTCTAGAAGAGCATATTGACTAATTTTGATTGTTTCCAAAAACATAAAGCTATGAGAATAATAATGCAGTTCCACATGTCAAATAAGCAGCAAATGTTTTTTGTTACCTGTGCAAAGTGACTGCTGCTCTCATAAACTCCCAATCTTCCATCGGGCAGGAGGAAAAAGCAAAACCCTGTTCTCAGTTACTCCTGAAGGATAGTCATAGTGTGTGATGGCTCTAAAAATCAGACAGTGGTGATTTTGAATCAAACTGGAATTAAGTTGCAGTCAGTGCTAGGTCAGGGTGACCATGCTGATTTTTCCTTTTTGAAGCATAGGGAACTTCTTTCTAAATGCAAGTAGCAATTGCATTGCTATCAGTACTGTTCTAATGCATATAGAAAGAAAGGAAAATCTTCACTATTCAAGGTCTTCAAGAGCAGGTTGGATAAAGCCCTGAGCAACTCGGTATGGAGTTGATCTTGCTTTGTGTCAGGTTCAACTAGAGATATTCTAAATCCTTTTCTAGACTGAGTTTTTCTAGGGAAATATTGGTACAGCATTGTCCCTGCAAATCTCTCCCTTATTAACCTCCTATTGATTTCTTGTAGATGAAGCATGCAGGTTGATTGTGGAGGAGGAAGGATATTTTGTTGTTGAGGATATTGCATCTTATCTTTGCTATTGAGTTTTCTGTATCTGTCAAGGAAAATTGACCTTTGTAATAGAGGCACTTGTAAAGGAAATGCTCCCTGTAAGATAGTCCACTAGGTGCAATGACTGTTAAACATGCAATATTTTTCCACCTGTTTTTTATTTTTTGAGTTTTTTTTTTCCTGGAACATAATAATATTAATTTTTATTTCATCTGAGTACATCACTTATTCTCTTGTGTCTCAGCTAAGTATATTCTCTTTGCTGAAGTGTTTGGCTGTCATGCAAATTGGACATTCTTACCATTTTCCACAGACTTGGCATCACTATGAAAGAAATGATATGTGTTTATTTTAAATTGTCCTTTACTTCAGTGCTGACAGTTCTCCACAGTGCCTGACATTTTTGAGAGGAAACAGCCTCTCACATCTTGGGTTACAGGGAGACCACTTAAAATAGAGGACGAGGCCTGTGTGACATGACACTATTGCTTTTCTTCATCCTCACCCTCTTCACTGTTCAAACTTTGTGAAATGTGTCCATATGAGATTATTGGCTGAGGAAGGCAGCTCAATCAAGGGGGTTTGTCTGTTCCTGTAAGATTTATCTGTGCAGGGCAGGGGCCCGTTATTCTGAGCACAGCTGTAGCCTCTGGGTATCACCCCGTGATCTGGAAACGCTTCTGGGGGAGATTTGTGCTCTCCAGAGTGCATTGCTGCTTCCAAGGCATCAGGTTGTTACTAACACTGGATTAACGAACCATTTCAGAGCTGCGTGGAACTGGCAGAGCAGAGATGCAGTGTTGTGGAATCTGTGATGACTGTTTAATGGGAGAGAACTGCTGCTGGTGCTCCACGAGGCACTGGAGAATGGCCTGAGAAACAACTGGCGCAGCACCTTTTTTTTTTTTTTTTTTTTTTTTTTGCTTAAGAAAACTTATTTGAGAGCATCAGTGCAACGTGGGAGCATAAGTAAGAACACCAGTGTTTGGATTGGATGCTTTTCTGCACAGTATCTTCCCTTACATCATTGAAATTGATGGTCATTCACTGATGCCTTGGCTATCTGCAACAATTCTATTTATCTAAATTTCAGTTTAAATATCCCAGTTTATTTACATTTCCAGCAGCTAATATGACAGGTTTTCTTTTTTTCTTAACCTATCACTTATGCCTTGAAATATGCAGCTTGGAACATGTTTGGGTTTGTTTTAAGTTATCATTAAAAGTAAACATTTAAATTTGAAAGGTTGTGAGGGTTTTATAAGAATTTATTTAAGGTGTTCTGTTTTGACCATCAGAAACTCCAGTCACATCTGAAAACTAGGGCCAACAGATGACAGATAATTTTTAGTTGGAACACCAGCTCTTTCTGGAACACAGTGTGTTTGATTTTGAACTCCAGCCTGGTGACTTGGCTTTCCTTTGAGCTATGCCAGTGCTCCAAATTTACACTTTTATGTAATTCCTTTCTATGCACTGAACCATGCATGTTTAGTTTGCTTCCTCCTCTTCTTTTCCTTTTCCTGAGGTGTAAAGAGGGAAGCATGTTCTATATATATGCTATATATTAATACATGTGGGTTATTCCTTAGCAGAGGAATAAAGTACAGCAGTCCAGGCATAATAGGGGAACAATTGCTACAGCTCATCTACTTTGTCTTGATATATTAGCATAATAAAGAGTAATATGTTTTTTTACTGGCAGTATATTCCTGAAGCTTTTCTGGTATCTGGGTATGAATCAAATATTACAGAACAGTGATGAAGCAGAACAGCAAAACCCTTTGGATGTAGATGGAATGTTCCTGCAAGCGGAATCTCATCCTGATCCTGGGGAGGTGGGAAGGAGAAGAGATCTCAGATTGTTAAAACTGACCAGAGTATAGAATGGTTGAATATATTTGGCAGTAAAACAATTGGGAAGACTTATTTGGAGTTTACCTCCTGGTGACAGCACAGTCCCTGTCTGTGCCCCCTGGCAGACAGGAGCAGGTGCCATGCATGGGGGGGTACAGGCTCCATCAGCATGAAGGTGATTGACCTTTAACCATTGCAAGCAGGAGGATTGAAGGGACAGCATTGCCACCCATGCCTTGTGTTGATAAGGAAAAAAATACCATAACTATTCACAGCAGAACATGTAGTTCTCCCTGCTTCTGGGAAAATGTAAGAGGCACTTCGAAGGCCATGTCCATGGGCTCTTCTGGGGAAAGATGCTTCAAAAAATAAGAGTGTTTCCACCACTGCAATGCACATTTCTGTTAAAACCCAGTTTATACTGATTCATCTGAGTGCACACTGTTCTGCAGAACAGGAAGGGTCAATTAGTTTCAAGGTGCTGTGTCACTGCTTAGAGAAATCTGCTGGAATACAAGATTTCTCACAGGCCTCCCTAGTGCATGTTTTCAAGGGTGGACCGTGTACATTTTAAAGTGAATAACTACAGCAACCTCATTTATGCATTAAAAGTTAAATTAGTAAACAAACTAGGTACTCAGACATTGGTATGAAGGTTATTTCTGATTTTGATGGTTTTTTTCAATTTGCCCTTGAGACTGGCTTGAATTCACTTCTCTTCACTGGCAGGCTTCATGGTTGTGCAGTGGTTAAGACTGATTGCCCTGGATGCTCTAAAATCAGTGCAAAGATGTCTCCAGAGCCTGAAGTTAAGTAGGATGAATTCCACCTCTCTACATAGTAGTGGAAGAAAGTTAATGTGTCTGTCCAAGGCAGGGCCACCTTCCACCAGCCCAGGTTGCTCCAAGCCCAGTCCAGCCTGGCCTTGGACACTTCCAGGGATGGGGTAGCCACAGCTGCTCTGCCCAACCTGTGCCAGGGCCTGCCCACCCTCACAGGGGAGAATTCCTTCCCAACATCCCATCTATCCCTGCCCTCTGGCAGTGGGAAGCCATTCCCTGTGTCCTGTCCCTCCATCCCTTGTCCCCAGTCCCTCTCCAGCTCTCCTGGAGCCCCTTTAGGCCCTGCAAGGGGCTCTCAGGTCTCCCTGGAGCCTTCTCTTCTCCAGGGGAACACCTGCAGCTCTTCCTGGAGCCTTCTCTTCTCCAGGTGAACACCTGCAGCTCTTCCTGGAGCCTTCTCTTCTCCAGGTGAACACCTGCAGCTCTCCCTGGAGCCTTCTCTTCTCCAGGTGAACACCTGCAGCTCTCCCTGGAGCCTTCTCCAGGTGAACACCTGCAGCTCTTCCCAGAGCAGAGGGATCTCTGATCATCTTCATGGCCCCCTCTGGACTCGCTCCAGCAGGTTCATGGCCTTGTCTTGGGGATCCCAGACCTGGCTGCAGCACTCCAGGTGGGGTCTCAGGAGAATGGAGCAGAGAGGAAGAATGCCCCCCGGATTTGCTGGCAACATGTTGGTGTAGGACACGGTTGGCTTTCTGGGCTGTGAGTGCACTTTGCTGGGTCATGTGGGGCTTCTCATCCCCCAACATTCCCAAGTCTTTTTTCCTTGGGACTGCTCTTGATATACTTTGTGTGTTATTTGTGGAAGTTTTTTTAGTATAGGCTAATATAGAATGAATAGTCTCCCTCTGTATAAAAATTTCTACAAAGATTGCAACCTTTGTAAGTTTATAGATCTTTAAAACACCAAAAGGTCAAAGCATCTTGGGAACAGTGTCCAGCAGTGGCCTGCATCAACACCATGCAAGTCTTACGATACTGTGAATATTCACCGACATGCTAATTGTGCTCTCGCAGTTTTTCAGTGAAGTAACCAGAGTTACTTCATCTGTAAAATTGAGTGGAAGTCTGAGAGTCTTTAGCACAGGAACCGCAGAGGCTTCCCATTGGTTTCAGTGCCCAGGGGAAAGTTAACAGACTTTGAAGAGCTTTTAATTTAGAGAAGTGTTTGGGTGGTAAGTGCAACTTCAGAGATAGAAGGCCTGCTCCAAAGCTCCTGAATACAGTGGAAACCTTGAGGTGAAATTTGGGTCTGTGAATGTTCCTGTTTCCTAGAACTCCCAGGCTTGTGAAGTGCTGCAGAGATTGCAGGCTGTTAAATTCGACATTTTTTTGCGTTTTGTTTTTAAATATTGAAGTGAGACTTCTAAGTCATTCATAACATGTGAATGCCCCATCGTCTCTGTACTCTCCTTGCTGTTATTAAGTGTATACAAGATGTTCAGCACTGTAAAAATAAATAAACCTACTTAGGGAAATTCTGAACAGAAGTGTTTGCCTTTAAGAACAGTTCCAGTGAATACAAACGTGTGTACTTGCATTGTCAGTTTTGCATATGTGTGCCATCTATTTCAATGCAATTTTTGTTTGTTTTTATAATCCCAGGACTATACCTTGACAATGTACTTTCAGCAAGCGTGGAGGGATAAGAGGCTGTCCTACAATGTGATCCCTCTAAACCTTACTCTGGACAACAGAGTAGCTGACCAGCTGTGGGTGCCAGACACCTATTTCCTGAATGACAAGAAGTCCTTTGTCCATGGGGTCACAGTGAAGAACAGGATGATTCGTTTGCATCCAGATGGAACAGTCCTTTATGGGCTCAGGTCAGTATGAACCATTTCTAACTCTTCTGTCTCTTAGTTTAAAACCATGATTAAAAGCCTAAAAATAAACTCCATCCCTTGCCTTTCTTAATGCTGTTCTTTTTATTGCTCTATTCTATATTGCAGAAAAAAAATTTAAATTAAGTATATTCTAAGGACAGATAATATTTTTTTTTTAATTTTATTTTTAGTACAATTATGGAGATAAAATGCCATTTTTAGTACAGTTCAGACATTTGTATTAAGAACAGATAAGACTGTAAATATCATTTGAAATATTCAGGATTAAAAACCTGGTTTGGAATTGCTTCCTCAAAGGAATTGAAATAGAAAATACAAAATGAGGATTAGAGGAAAAAATGGAAAATATGCATGATAGATGAATTGGTAGTTAACTGATATGTTTTATAAATATTTTTAGTTGAATATTGAATTGGTTTGTATGAACCAGCTTTCTGATTTTCTCCAAGAGGTGTGACTTGAAGTGTTCTTGTTGGTGTGCGTGACTGGAGAGCAGGGACTGACAAGAGAGCTTCACTCTTGAGGGGGTCTGAAAGGTGGGGAAAATGTCTGGTTAGTAATGTTTGTAGGAAAAACAATTACCAAGGAAGTGATTTGAAAATACTGCTGCAAAAGGTGGCTGAGAACCTGGCTGGGTAGGTAACAAAACGGAGGGAAAGCACTGTTTGGGTCAACAATGGAAAATGCAGAGCTGGTTATTGCATTTACCATTTGTGCTGTGTCCAGTTGAGTCTTCCGTGGGAGCAAAAGGCTTTGGCACTGTGGCTTGGAGCAAGTCTGGACTGGGTTATTGTTCAGTGGAGCCTTGAAACATAGTTGTAGTTTAAAGTGAAATATAAACCACCTACATACCACACATCTGTGTTACTGGAAGGAGAACAAGAATAACAATGGACTTAGTGTAACTTTGAATTTAAGACGCTGAAATCATAATCTTTATTTTTTAGAATAAATTAGAAATTGGTGAAACATTTCCTCCTTTTCATTAAGCATAAATAGCAAATGAGTTTTAATATCTTTTATAAGATGCAATAAAGTAAAATGGTCTCTATTTTTTACTTAAAGCTGTTTAATGTAATTAGAGGAAACATTATTGCTGCTTGGATCCTTTATTACCCAGAGTTATTTTCTTCAATACTTTCAATCACAATGTGGTATCCAAAATGGTTTTATAGTAATTCTGTGTGTTTGGCTGGTTTGGGTTTTTTTACTGCTGTAGAACTTTTGCACAGCCCAAAGTTAAAGATATTTAGACAATTTTTTTTTTTTTTTCTAGGGAAAAGCTTTCAGATCAGGAAATAATATTCTAGTACTCTGGTGTATCTAGCAGTCTCATATTTGAGATGATCAATTCTCACATCCCTATAGGGCTCTGTTTGGTGCATTTCAAGCGTTGTCTTTGCCCTGAGAGCTGGTCCAAAGGAAATGATGGATGGGAATTCTGCCATCATTCCTTTCGGTGCTGAAATGAATTGTACGCTGAGGGCAGTGGCAGGATGGCCAGCACCCTTGGACTCCCTTGCCCATCACCAAGATTAGGGACTGCAGTTGCCTTCAGCCCTAGTGCAGCTGTGGAACTGAAGAGCCAAGAGGGAATGACCCCTCTTGTTTCATAGACAGTCTGTGTCTGGTGCAGCGACTGGAACATGGACAGACACCTCATAAATGAGGATATGGCAAGAAACTCCCTTCTTTTATGTCCTAATTATTAATGATCCCTGGATGATCCATGATCATCACTTTGTGATGAAGTGTAGAAGATCCCTTCTCTCCCTCCTCCTCAGACTCAGCTGAGCAGGTGAGAAAGGCTTTCTGGTTAAAATGTTTTCAAACCATGGGGTGGATGGGGCAAATCCACTGTGGTAACACAACGGTTATGTGAGGGGCCATGTTCTGCCTTTGCCTTCACTGGACCATGTGGCAATCAGTGATCTGATTCTAATATTTGGCTTTCAGTTTTATAGCATTAAATAGCTTTTTCTATCTATGTCATTTAAATCCGCTGATTCAGAGTTAATGTCATTTCAAGTGTCCTCAGTACTGATATATTTAATGACTGCTTAGTAATAATTTCCACATATCTTTAAAATGCCTGCTTAATTGTTTTCCACATATCATCTGGAGAATCCCATAAATTATTATTGTTCTGAAAATCACTACTACTCTTGCTTTGTTAATTTAACTTTGCTTACACCTGCAGTCATGTATTCATCCTTTGAGATGTGTTCTACTCAAGTGAGGTTCCTTTAAGTATCAGTCTTAAATTTTTTTACCTCCCCGTGCATCTGTTTATAACCAAGTGTGTCCATGTATCCCATGCACACACACGTGTGTTACTGTAAATTTGGCTGCATTTACCCTGATTGCTGTAACCAAATGCATTGAACTGCAAGGGATCTTACTAATATAAATGAAACCATCCCGTTCTTTTCTGTCCCTGTAGTTTGATCTCTATTTAACACACAAGCAGTGATCCCTGAACATTGTTCTTTTTGGTTTTCTGAGCCCATACATGGTATTCGTGTCGCATCTGATTAGATCTGACATTGGGAAGGTAAATTCCAGGAAGGACTAGAAGGCACTTTTATAAACACCTGGATTATGCTGTCACTGAAAGAGAGGAGAGAAGAGAGCAATGGCTAATAATGAATGTGGACATCTCTAAGGTTGGCATGTTGTCCTCCCAGCCTGCCCTGTGCACTGCTGCAGGGCACTGCTTAAAGGCAGAACTGAATTCGTGACCATTTTATACAGAGAACATGAGAGACTGGCTGCTTTTAGGTTAAGAAGGATTTTTGTTTCTGAGGGATATCTGCCAGCTATCTGTGCTTTGGGAAAATGTTTTCTTTAATGTTATTTTCATATTCCCTCTGGCAAGAAAATTCTTTGCTGCCAAGATCAGGACATTCAGTAGATGATATACTTAAATCACCTAAATGGTTGAAAATTGTAAACATATAGTCTTAAATGAAGAGACGTTACAGGGAAAATTGCTGTGTTGGTAGTTAAGATGACTTGCAAGAGGATATTAGTGATTTGACAACATATATAGAACAGTAAATTTAGAGACTTGAATATAGGATAACATTTTGCAGTAGGGTGAGCAAAGCTTGAATAAGATATGCAGTCAGAACTCAAGAAAAAAATGTAGCTTTAAATAAATGTCTGTATGTTAAAATATTTGGTTTATATAATACACTGAGCAGAGATAGGTGCTACAGTAGATAAGTTTTGTTATTTTAAACATTTATATATATATATATATATGTAAAAAATTTCCTCTGACTTTTGACATCAAATCTGTTCTAAAATGCAGATGGAAAGTTCAGCTCTCTGCTGCTTTATTCTGTATAATACTATGGAAAAAATCTCTTTCCTGATTTCTGCATCCTCTGAAAGCACTGGAAGTTTTCTGAGGTTTTTTCCAGGGATGGAATACAAGATTTGAGAAGGGTGACGAGTGAGAACCTCTTGTTTGCCAGGGTAGAATGCTGAGTTTAAATCTGGTTGAAGAAATGGCTGAAGACAAAGCTGTTCTGTGTGACTTTGCACGATTAACAGTGTGATGACATTGACTCTTCCACACACTTGTACCATTCCTCACCAGAGAGCCCTGGAGTGGAGGGGTTTGTGCTTTTTGTAACTGGTGTTTGTGGGTGTTTTTTCACTGAAAAATAGAATATATACAGAACTTCTGCTAAGGGGCCACCTCCTGGACAGTGATGACGTTCCCATCCTTTTAACCAGTAGAAAAACAAAAGAAAGTAGAACAGAGCACTTTTGTCAGAAAGGAAAGATTTGTCCCATTTGAAAGCCCAAGAGTTTTACTTGCCAAGATTCCCTTAATACATTGCCAAGTATAAATTTCCAAGCCAGTCAGCAATAATTCCTACTTGACTGATGGAACATAGTAATCTCCCATAAATGAGAGAATTATGTGTATGATGGTCTTGCTTTGTCCTCTCTCTATTTCCTGCTACCAGCATTGAGTCACATGAATTCAGAATAGTCCTGGATGCTTGGATTTTGTGTTGTCTCATCTGTGCCTTCTGCTGTCTGCTCACTCAGTTTCAGCTGCTTAGAAATTTTCACTGTTGCAATAAAATAGATGCGCCCACACTTTGTTCTATTAAAATAGCCTTGGGCATTTTTGTTGTATTAATAGACTCGTTGAGCAGTTTAACTTCTCCTATGCAGCTTATTATCTACAAAATCTGATGACAGTTTAAAAAAGAATTGCCTTTCCAAGTACCTTTAGTTCTCAGACCATACTCTTGGAGAGGTGAATTGCTCACACCATCTATCCTTCAGTAAACCATCTGATCTTTATGTTGCTACTTTTTTGCTTTTTTATATTTTTTTTTCCTCGTAAGTCTTATTTTTTAATTAAATTCTTAGGGATAATTTGGAGGTAAACTTCCACTGCCCAGTTTTAAAATCCTTTGTGCTAGCTGGAACCCTGGCAGTGTTCAAAGCCAGGGTGGAGCAGCCTGGTCTAGTGGGAGGTGTCCCTGCCCATGGCAGGGAGAATTTGGGATTAGATGATTTTTAAGGTCGTTCCAATGCCTAAACATTCTGTGATTCTGTGAATTAAAGTTATGTCTTTGGACTGCCTATAATATTTCAGATATCCTTGTTATTACAAAATTTTGTCTGCAAGAAAGTGAGAGATCTCTCCTACCTTTTTGCTGCAAAATTTTATTTCCAGAAGCTGGACAGAAGTTGTTTAAAGGCTTTTAACGGTATTCATGTCAAGGAAAAATGTTCTCAGGATCGTTCTAAGTCTGGGGATTTCAGACAGGATACAGAGGACCCAGCCTTCTTTCCTGAGGGGAGGATATTATTTTGGATGCTCTGTTCTTGACCCTGCTCCTGTCAGGGGGGCAGGTGTTCCAGCACATGGATGTTTCTCTTGGCTCTGCAGCCTCCACTCCAACTGGGGCTTGTGTGGCCTCAGGGGAGAAAAGGCAATAAATCCT